TTTCTTAAAAACGCTTTAAATTAGACACAATTTTCAATCAAATTAAACTGAATTGAAATTAATTTGCATTTATATACGTTTTTCAATTCCTGATTAACATTGTTAATAATGTTATCTGATCATTAAATTAATTATGTTTTTTTTTTTGCAATATTTCGAAATCTAATTGTCCATTATATAAGTTAAAGTTTGTGTAAGGAAATTAGACTTAGATCAGATAATAAAATCCATTCAAACATTTATTTTTTTTACGAGTCGATTCGATTTTGAGAACGTTCCAACCGACTGGATTCTAATGAATGAAGTGCATTAATCTGAATAGATATAAATTGTAGCTCATAATTCACACATCACCTCACAAAGTTACATTTTATAGCACAAACTTACAATAATTTATATTATTTTTCATCAACATTGAGTCTTTTAGATCTTTATATTAGTTTCAATGAAATAACTATATTTCTTTTGCTTTACGCTTTTGTATAATTATCACTAATCAGTTAATATTTGCAACTTTTTCAATTATATTTTCTTCAATATTTCTATACCAGAATTATTATTGCAACTTTTTCTTTGGAATGTTAAAATGCAATTACAATTTTGATTTTCAGTTGTAATTTTCAGAATTGAAATTTTGATTTATAATTTCAGAAATTAAGTTTGATTTTGTTTATGTTTTTCTATACAAATCAAAACTTATTTAATAGTTTTGAGAATTTATGTTTCAATTTGTTTGCTTCACTATAATTCTGATATTACTTGTAATTTTCAGAATTGCTTTACTATGAACATCAAAACTGTTTATTTTTTTCTAAGATTCCATTCGATTTTGTATAAGCGAAGTCTATGTAAAGAGTAGGGCGAATATATCCGCCGAACATCCGAAAATAATTAATTATTTTACAAAATTTATGTAAATTCTGATTTTTGTTTTGTAGTTTTCAGAATTGAAATTCTGATTTATAATTTCAGCAGTTTTCAGAATATTAATTAGGATTTTTTTATGTTTTTCTATACAAATCAAAACTTATTTAATAGTTTTGAGAATTTATGTTTCAATTTGTTTGCTTCACTATAATTCTGATATTACTTGTAATTTTCAGAATTGCTTTACTATGAACATCAAAACTGTTTATTTTTTTCTAAGATTCATTCGATTTTGTATAAGCGAAGTCTATGTAAAGAGTAGGGCGAATATATCCGCCGAACATCCGAAAATAATTAATTAGTTTGCAAAATTTACTACAATTCTGATTTTTGTTTTGTAGTTTTCAGAATTGAAATTTTGATTTATAATTTCAGCAGTTTTCAGAAATTAAGTTTGATTTTGTTTATGTTTTTTTCTATACAAATCAAAACTTATTTAATAGTTTTGAGAATTTAAGTTTCAATTTGTTTGCTTCACAATAATTCTGATATTACTTGTAATTTCTAGAATTGCTTTACTATGAACATCAAAGCTGTTTTTCTTTTCTAAGATTCTATTCGATAAGTCGAAGTCTATGTCTTTACATACTACTTTTTAGTGGGGCGAATATATCCGCCGAAAATAATTAATTAGTTTGCAAAATGTATGTTTTAATTTACCACAATTCTGATTTTTGTTTTGTAGTTTTTAGAATTGACATTCTGATTTATAATTTCAGCAGTTTTCAGAATATTAATTAGGATTTTTTTATGTTTTTCTATACAAATCAAAACTGATTTAATAGTTTTGAGAATTTATGTTTCAATTTGTTTGCTTCACTATAATTTTGATATTACTTGTAATTTTCAGAATCGCTTTACTATGAACATCAAAACTGTTTATTTTTTTCTAAGATTCCATTCGATTTTGTATAAGCGAAGTCTATGTAAAGAGTAGGGCGAATATATCCGCCGAAAATAATTAATCAGTTTACAAAATTTACCACAATTCTGATTTTTGTTTTGTAGTTTTCAGAATTGAAATTCTGATTTATAATTTCAGCAGTTTTCAGAATATTAATTAGGATTTTTTTTATGTTTTTCTATACAAATCAAAACTTTGATTATTTAATAGTTTTGAGAATTTAAGTTTCAATTTGTTTGCTTCACTATAATTCTGATATTACTTGTAATTTCCAGAATTGCTTTACTATGAACATCAAAACTGTTTATTTTTTTCTAAGATTCCATTCGATTTTGTATAAGCGAAGTCTATGTAAAGAGTAGGGCGAATATATCCGCCGAACATCCGAAAATAATTAAATAGTTTGCAAAATTTACTACAATTCTGATTTTTGTTTTCAGAATATTAATAGGAAATTGGAATTTTTTATCTGTTTAGTAATAATAAAGAAAGAAAGTTTTACGAATAAAACGTTATTGTATTTTATGTGTCTTCAATAGATATAATAGTATTATTTCATTTAAAAAATAACGTATATATATATATTATATATAATTTATATAAAGTACATTTTAAACGTAGGAACGAACACAATCTCAATTAATAATAGAAAACAAAAAAAAAACATGAATTTCATTCATTCATTTACACTCTTCGCAATTTTTTTCCTCATCTCACAATTTTTTTTTGTTTATCTCTTTTGTTTTATATAGATAAAAATAATATAACATGTATGTATATAATATGTGTAAACTATCAATAAGTAATAATAATAATAATAAAGTGTACAAAAATAATATTCACAATATTCGTAAATTCTAATATATGTATAATATAGTACAATCATGAAGAAGAATAATAATTAATATAGAGAAAAAAGGGAATATCTTAAGTAGCCGTGAAAACAATCGAATCCTGGTCTGGGATCCCGAACCATTCGTTCTTTTGTTATAAGATACATTTGCATCATTCGACGGTGACGCTCTTGGCGAGGTTACGTGGACAATCCACGTTGCAGCCACGTTGCATGGCGATGTGGTAACTCAAGAGTTGCATGGGGATGACGGTGAGGATGCCCTGGAGACAGTCCACGGTCCTGGGTACTTGCAGAACCTTGGAGGCCATCGAGCTGGTCTCTTCGTCACCTTCCTCGCAAATCAGAATCGGTCTTCCTTCGCGCGATGTCACCTGAACATGATTAATTACAGTTTAGATTATCTCTGGATTATATGAAAAGTTGAAATAATAATACCTGTTGAAGGGCGTTCATGCACTTGATGTAGACCGGATCGCGCATGACGATCATGAGGACGGGCATTTGATCGTCGATGAGGGCCAAAGGTCCGTGTTTGAGTTCACCAGCCATGATGCCTTCGCTGTGCATGTACGTCAATTCCTTGACTTTCTGTAATTAAGAAACCACAAATTCGCGTTATTATTTACAATATAAAAGTAATTGTTATGAGATGACTAACCAAAGCGCCTTCGAGGCAAGTGGCAAAGTTGAATCCTCTACCCATGATCAGCAGCGATTTCTGCTGGTACAGATCCTTGGCGAGCTCCTGCACCTTTCCGTCCAGCATGAGCACGGCCTTGATCTGCTCCTGCAGATTCTTCAGACCCTCGATGATCTCGGTACGTCTCTGACGCAGAGAAATCCTGTCCTCGCTCATGACCAGAGCGAACATCACCAAAGAGATGAACTGGCTGGTGTACGCCTTGGTGGAGGCGACACCGATCTCGGGGCCGGCGTTGATGTGCACTCCGCAGTGGGATTCGCGGCAGATGGAGCTGCCCACGGTGTTGGTGATGCCGACGATGAGCGCTCCGCGCTCCTTGCAGTATCTGAGCGCCATCAGGGTGTCGGCGGTCTCTCCGGATTGCGAGATGAAGAAACAGACGTCGTCCCTGAAGACGGGCGTGGTGCGGTCGAGGAAATCGCTGGCCAACTCCACCATAACAGGAAGCTCGGTCAACTCTTCGAGGAGCTGTCTGGTGGCGATGGCGCTGTGGTAACTGGTACCGCAGCCGATGAGCATCAGACGACGACACCTCTTGATCTCTGGGATGTAATCCTTGATACCTCCCAAGTTAATAGTCTGAAAACAAACATTCTCCGTTTATACACCAACAATCGTAACGAAAGGAAAGTTGAAATAATTGCAGAATAAAGACAAATTAACTTATACCACTAAATAGTTTAGATCAGTGATTCCCAAAGTGGTCTATATCGACCCCCAGGGGTCTATGACAACCTGCAAGGGGTATACGTCAGCGAAAAAAATTGGGGGTCCATGAAATGAAAATGGGGGTCCACGATAGTGGATCTCAACCGGTGGCAATCGAAATCCCGACAATCAAAATCCCGCGACAATCAAAATACCGACATTCGAAATTCCGACTATATCAAAATTCCGACAACCATAATCTCAACTGTATTAAAATTCCGACAATGTCTTTTATTATATTTGACCGCCAAAACAGAACATTAATGAGTTATCTTCGCGGAATAGCTCATAGTATTTCATTATAATTATTTTATTCATTTTTGTATTATAATAAAGATAATTTTAAAAATTCATCGCTCGAGTTTTTTTTTATTTCTAGAATATA